TCATGACAGCATTAGAAGCGTGTTTATGGAGTTGAGCACGGTGACCATAGTTCTCAACGCTAGACATGGAAAAAGCCATGTTGGGTGTAGGAATGACAAAGAAGTCTCTAACTTTTCTAGACTAGGCGAGGGGTGTCTCACCTAGTGCCGCTTGATGTCGTTTATGTGATAGAGATGATGTTGGACATGTCCAAGATCATGCCAAACATAATTTGTTCCAGAAAGTCTATGACTTCTCTACACTGAGCAAGAAAGCAACCATGCTAAGCACAATTAAGAAAGAAAGGTCTCTAACCTCTTCATGTCAAGCGTGGGTATAACCACGTCAAGCATGAATGCAACAAAGAGGCCCCTGTCCCCTCCCAACTAAGTGCAAGTATAAGTAATGATAACAATTGATTATTGATAGGCATGATGTTGAAGATGTTGACGAAATGAGTAAGTTCATGCAGAGGTTTGACAATGATGAAATATAGATAGGGCTTGGTACATTGTGAAGTCTAGACAAAGAGATCAATGCAAGTTGTTATTGTGACATTGCATTGTTGTTGGTGTTTTGAGTTGATTATGCAAGTTCATGCACCCATGCATTGCAAGCATACTTTCTTTGGTGAGGTGGTATGAATCTATGTAGGGGGTCTCTATGGTCATCTACATAAATCTTAAGGGGCCTTCTGGTAAAGAGTCCCTAACGAATATGGGGGACAACCACAACCAACTATAATGTTTTGACTTAATCCTGGTAGATATCCCCTAGTTGAGAGTGGATTGTGACGAACACCTAATGTGTGGTGATCCAGTCCATGGCTCATAAGTTGCCTTGTGTTAGAATGCTTTTGGCGATGTAGATATTAATATCATTTACATGTAGAATTAGGAACATATTTCGCATAAGTCTCTAATATTGTGTTGTTATTAATTGTGGATGTATGTTGTGCTAGTGTTACTTAGATACCTTGTATGTACTATATAGGGATGAGAATAAGTCAGGTTTGACTTTGTATATATAAGTTGAGTATGTTCTACAAAATTAAAGCTTAAGCATAGCTCATTATCTATCATAGACTTTTTTTTATATATAAGTTTAACCTGGTCTTTTTAAAATCTAGCTTGGCCTATTAGCCTATTTAAAAATCTATTTAAATTATTAATGTTAATTAGACCAATAAACTTAATTTTTAAAAATCAACAAAATTATTTTTAAAATATAGTTTACTCAATATTATTAAAATTTAAATTTTAAAAAAATTGAATTATTTTATGTTGAAGGGACAATTCATGCATAGTCATGTATGTTTTTGTAACTCATGCATAGGTCATAAATTTATAAACCTATTACGAAAAAAATTATATAAAAAAATTTAAAATATTGATAATTTATTTCTATTTTATAAATTTATTTGTTTATTTATATTTTTAATAAATGTCTTTAATATATAATTATTCATATATAAGACCAACGTTGGATTAAGGATCCAACAATATCCCACTTGGACTATATGTGTAACCTTATAATTATATAATTATAAAATGCATCTTTTACCAATTCGGTTCATCAATCATACCAACATAGGATCAAAGCAGTCTTTGTTACATTTAATTTGTCGTAACTAAACCCATCAATGGTCACATATATTGATACAAATGAATAACATGAATCATGATATGGATGTGTAGTATGGAATTTTCATGTAATGTGATCTTAACATGCCTCAATTCAACAAAATTATTATTTTCTACAATTCAGCCCAACAGTCTATAATTCCGCTATACTATAAAATTTCTCTTATTAATCCATTGATTCCAGCTCAACAATACACCTCTAATACAGCTAACATATTTATCTCAGCTTTATCCCCTAGTCATCACAACATATTCATCAAATTCAACTTGGTTCAGCATATAACATCATTGATTAACAATTTCGGCACAACTCAACAGCCAACATTATATAGATCATCATCTCCTTGCGCGCCCGACGCACTCGAGGTCGCACCCAGCGCAGCTTAACCCGAGAGCACCAGGACCAGCGCGCCCAGCGCAGGAGTACTCGCGCCCAGCGAGTCTCAACCCGAGAGCACCAAGGCTCTCCCGCGCCTGGCACAATTCCAAATTGCGCCCAACGCCTGCCTGGCAGAGACTCAGGAGTCTCGTGCGCTCAGCGGGGCCTAACCCGCGCCCAGCATGGGGAAGACAGAGACTTACCAAGGTCTCGCGCCCAGCGCAATTCGCATTGTGCCCGGCGTGCTCTTGGCAGAGACTCCCAAGGAGCCTCCGCGCCCAGCGAGTCCAAAAGTGCGCCTAGCGCGGCCCAAGTATCCCAAAGTATGTTACTCTTGATATCGCGCCCAGCGCAGCTCGAGTCACGCCCGACGCGAGCCAACCAGAGACTCCCATTTGCAAGCTCGCCCAACGCACACAGCCCTGCGCTCGGCGGGCTTGCCTAAACAGAGTCTCCTGGTGGTCGCGCGCCCGGCGCGAAGAACAGCGCCCAGCGCGAACTCATCAGTAACTTCCCCAAGTTCGAAAAATCTCCAAAAACCTGCAAAACTTAACAGAAAATCCACATGCAAACGGTTCAAAGTGTCACATTTTCATCATACATCATGAAAAACATCTCCTTTTCAGCATGCATTCACAGATTATGAAGATCCCCCAAATTTTCACCCTACCCCAAAAACCCCAAAGGTGAGTGTTCCTCACCACAGCTCATCAACTTCACGAAAATCGGTTATGCCATGTGATTATGCATTCTTTCACAAACCAAACAGCCATAAGTCTAGCTTCCCTTACCTCAAATCAAAAGATCCTAGCTCCGGGAAGTAGAAGAAAATGCTCCACGGGGAAGAAAAGGAGAAAGAGAAGAGGAAGCTCCGCACGGCTCGACTAGAAATCCAATCCTATTCTTGACCAGCACCTTGAATCAGCAACTAGAAGGAGTCAGAAATGTGAGGAAGGGGGTGAAGGAGAATGCTAAATGTGAAGCTTGGTAGTGTGTGAATGAGAGTGAGAGAGGGTAAGGGTAATTGGGGAAAGAAAAAGAGGGTCTCACACTTTCGAGCCTGGGTTAAGATCGGGATGACCTCTCAAACCTAACAAATTTTTCTATAAGCCTAAATATGACTTATTTATATAAATAAGTTTTTTTAAAAGTCTATATTTAATCTTTTTAAAGAGGTCAGACCATAAGTCTTTGGTTCATTCTCATCCCTAATACTATACATGGATGAGACATACTGTCACTCATATTTTTGTGTTGTTTGTTATTTTTGTTTGGATTGATTGTCATACAAAAATAGAACAAGTATATGAGATCGATAATAAGAAAGAGAAAATTTAGTACTTTAAAGTTTAGTACTTTAGTTGGTATTCCAAAGCTTACTCTTATAACATAGAAGCTAAAGGACTATATTATGCTTTCTTAGTTATAGATAGAGTTTACTTATTTTATTATGCCTTGTGATTTTCAAGATTTTGTAAAAAGGTTAATTTGTGTCTTGTTTTATGAACTTATAATTATGTTTACTTACCTTTTTGTTAGAGTTCATGGCGACGTACGAATCCTTTTACTATACAGATTAAAGTAATTGTTTATATTATCTTTTAGTTAAACTTATTTTTTTTAATAATCTTTTATAATAAATATTTTAAGGGCAGAAGGGTGTCTTAAATGATAATATCTCATTTTGTTTCTATTACACTAACAACTTGTCAATTATGAAAAAAATTTACTTGAAATGAAAAACTCCTTGTCCCCTCCTTTTCCGTCCAAACTCATCCACCCAAACATAACCTAAAGGGTAGTCTACATTACCTAAGACAAGTAAAAACCACCAGTTAACACATAAGCATAAATATATCAATTATGTCCGTAACTGAACTTGGGAATATGATATTAAAGAAACTAAGATAAAAAAAGGTGAGGGAAGTTGACAAAGCCTTTTGTCTAATTAGTGACAAATGATGGCAGTCACTTCTATACGCTTTGAGACATTGATAATTTTGTTTGATGATGCAGGGCAGCTAGAACATCAGAACATTCATTATCATGTCGAAGATTTCATGATATGCTCTACTATGCTTATGATTCATGAAAGCCAAAAATCAAGAAGAACAATTAATACCATTCAAGTACATGAAAAACCTTACTCAGACACGCCAATTATGCTATATAAAATGTTTCACTAGTTAAAACCTAAAAGCAACTAGTAAGGATCCATTTGGATAAGTTTTTCCAGAAAAAAAAAAGAAATAAAAGAAATAAACTTCTCCTTAAGATAAAACTAACTTATGTATAAATTAAAAATAAGATTTTGAAGAAATTAATAGGAGAAAACTTTTACCAATTAACTTATGTTTAAATTAATTTTAACTTATGAACAAATTTATTTCAGTTTTATTTTCTGTTTTTTCCTCTCTTAAAAGTGCTTCTATGAAAACTTATTCAAACACATTCTAAATTTCATGACAATACAGCAGAGCAGTGCAAGGGAAAAAGTGGAGCTGTACCAGTGAAGGAGAGAAACTCTTTAGTTCAACAAACAGCTTTTAGAATCTAAAAATTGTGAAAGTCGCATACCACCTCAATTCACTTCTGATGATCAACAATAGAATCAAAAGAAAACCAGATTCTTTGAAGACATGGGAATAGAAAGCAGTGTGAGTATTTGGAAAAATATACTCACACTTATGCTACGCAGTCACCAAATGAGAAAAAGGCTTCATGATTTGTAGTACAAATCCTAAGCAATAAAATGATAGTTGCCGAATGTCATTTGCATTTAGGATAGCAAGCATGAGACAAACAATATGAAAGACGAAATAAATTTGGTAGAGAAAGACAAGATTCAGTCACTGAAATTTCAACCAACGGGTGAATCATAGAGGCTTGCTGAAGCAGTAAAGCAACATTGAAATCAACCATAGTCAATTTCATATACCTGTTTGATCTATTTAATAGAAATCAAGAAAGAAGGAATTATATTCATGAAAACAAACCAAATATGGAAAAAGAGCTATGAAATATCAATAGAAAAATCAAGCAATGGTTCAAAAGAGACCATAATGGAAGATCTTATTTAATGTCTAATTCTAACAAGGCTAACAGTAACACTCAAATAATCAAACAGTTTTTACTCTCTCTAATACTTCCTTTTCCCTTCTTTTTCTCTAACTACTCTTTTCATCTTCAATTTTCTTTGCTTTCTTTTTGGATGTTGCCTGTGAATATAGGAAAGTCCCAAGAATTGCAATGGCAGATCCAAGGCCATTAAGTGGTCGAACCGGATTCCTGAACACCAAAACTGAAGATACAATCACCACCACTCTTTTCATTGTGTTTCCCACAGAGAAAGTGAGTGGGCTGATTTCATCTAGTGCTTGGTAAGATGATTGGTTATAAAGATGGTAGAACACACCAGACAGCAACACCCAAATATAAAAAGTGGATGTTTTCCCTATAGTTTCAATTGCCTTGTAATACCCTGGGATCCACTGAGACCCTTCTACGAAAATAGCCACAGGAAACAGGTAGAGCAATGAGAGTATAGTAATCCATCCATACAAGTTCAAGCCATCAACTTCCTTGAAATTCTGCAAACTTCTCTTGGAGTAGATGTTCCTCAACACAAAACCAACATTGCTAATAAGGGCACCCCACAACCCTTGCACATTGAAAGACACCTCAGTAACAGCAGCTAGAGAACAACCAAGCACAATTGGTAGAATAGAGAGCCAAACCTGTATGGGGTACCTATCACCAAGGACAGAAGAAAAGATGACAGAGAAAACTGGCTCTGCAGATTTGATGACATGGGTGAAGGAAACAGCAACCTTGGAGAATGAAACACAGGCTGATATGTGGCCTATTGTGTGGAACAAAGCAGGTCCAAGGAGGGCAATGATAAAGGGTTTTGAGATTTTTGGACAAGGTTGGAGCTTTAGGGACCAAAGCACCACCATCCAAATGGACCCCACAAAGAGCTGGAAAGAGGCAAGAAGCCAAGGGTAAGGGAAAATGTTCAACACTTTCTTGTTGTAAATGTTGAACACAATGTTTTGGAAGTACCAAAGCCCAAAAACCAGACCAAGTTTGAGACTTTTAGATTTGGGAGGAGCTACATTTTCTCCTTCAGGGTTGGCTTCAGATGCAGCTTTAACGATTTGGTTTCTGGGTTTTGATGAGAGCTCAAAAGGGTGTAGGAGGAATCTGTTAAAAGATCCTAACTTTGAGATTGAATGTTGGATCTGAGAAGTGGGCTTGAGAGAAAGTTTGGAACTTCTGAGACGGGATTCATGAGTGGCTTTGTGATTGGCCTGAAACCTTGTGAGAAGATTTGGTCTGAGATTGGGATACGCATTAAAGGAGAAATGGTGATTGGGTTTGGTGAAAGTGACAGGGGAGGATGAGGGAACAACATTTGAAGATAGCATTTTTAATCTGTGGCTAATTTTCTCTTGCAATACAACCACAAAAACAACAACAACTGAGACAATGGAACTGAAAAACAGATTCTGAAAAGGGGACAAACGGACAGATATAAGAGGCTTCCGACACAAAGGGATCAAGTCCTTTTGAGAGAACAAGAGGAACTGGAAAGTGTAACCAACCAACCAACCAACCCCCTTCCACAAAACCTACTCGTTAGTACAGAGGAAGCCCAAAAGGTACAACTTTGTCCCTAAACTGAGTTCAGTTAGGACTTGGGAATATTTTTCCTTCTAAAAAAAATTAATTTTAATTTTTATATTATTATCTAATAAAATTATAATTCTACCACCAAAAGAATATAATAATTTTTGTTTAGTAATTTGCACAACAAAATAATATTTAAATGTGTTAAAAAATCAATTTCTATGAATAAAATACAAATAATTATCTTACATGAAAATATTTTTTTAAAAATTAATAGAGAATTTTTTATAAAAAAAAATTAACTTATATATAATTTTATATTTTATTTTTTTAAAATATTTATGAATTAAATTTTAATTTTTAAAATAAATATTAATAAATAAAATTAATTTTTTGTTATAATAAATTATCAATTTTTATATTAAACATGATTCTTTTTTCGCAAGAGAGCGGACTTCTCTTCTATAAAAGGAATTTTAGAAATTTTTTTTAACATTTTACCTAATTTAATTTTTATTTATTATAATTTTAATCAGAAAATAGTAGCGCAAAATCTTGAAACTTCGTTTTCAGTGGTCTTAAGATACTAATTTTGGTTTTAAAATTAAAATTGAAAACAAAACATGTTTGCATGAAGAGAGATTAAAATCAAAAGGCTTTTTAATTTAATTTAATTTTAAAATTATTTAAACTCCATTTTGAAAAAAAAGTATGTTTTCAAATTTTAATTTTAAGTTTTTAAAAAATATCCAAGCACTTTTGATATTTTATTTCATCTTTCTCTACCAAGAAAAAAAAAAAGAATCAGAAAAAGAAATGAATGCAAGTGTGGTTTGGAATTGAAATATAAAATTAGAAATTTAATACAATTATTTTGAAAGTGTGAGGTTTAAGTAAAACAGAATAAGTTTTTTAAGTAAAACTATAACTCTAAAAGTAGCTAATAATTCGATAATAGTGCATTAAATGCATTAAAGAGTAATAAAGTTACATGTCTTAAAATAGTAATAAGATTATAATAAAATACTAGTATATGTTAAAGAACTGTTGTATTGTCCAGTATATTAATTTTACTTATTAATGACTAATTATGTTAATTTATAAGTACCATTCAGGTTTCATTAGAACTAACAGATGAGATTTTGTACAAAGTTTAGATAAATATTAATTAAATAAATTTTATGTTCAAATAATGTTTCCACTTTATGAATGAATCAAGTTAATTAAAAGATTAATAAAATACAAGTGTTACAACCATTTTTTTAAAAATTTGATCGGGCCTTCCACGGTTCCACCAGTTTGTTTGACTTTTAAAAAAGGACCATTTCAAAACTTGGGAGAAACAGTCAAATCAGTGAAAACATGTTAAAAAAATAGTGCAAAATATGGGCTTGAACTGGTACTTTAAAAAAATTAACAAAATATTTTTAAGATAAATATATGAATTAGAAATCTATAACAATATATAAATATAATATTTGTTTTCATACTCACATTTTATGATTTATTTATTTTCATAATTATCTCTAAATCATCTATCTTTAAATAACAAATCATTTAATAACTTTTATTATTATTATTACTATTATTATTATTTTATTTTTATATATTAAGTAAGTATATAGAGACATAGACCGTGTAATGACATATCAAGTGTCAAGTTAGTACTATACTAACAAAAGCGTAAATATGTAACTAAAAATATAAGTTACTTATCATAAATCATAAATTTATCATGTAATAAAACCTGACATCATCCACATATATATATATATA